TATAATAATTTAATCATTTTTGACATTTTATTTTTCATATGTAGGTATTGGATTTTCTGAAATATATGTTTGTCTTCTTTTAAATAAATTTAATAAACAATGAACTGCAGATTTTGTTTATTTTATTTTGAAATTATATTTAAAAAAATATAATAAATCCGCGTGTTTCAATCAATCAATCATTCAATGTTCTATAAAACATTCATTATACTTGTACTTCCTTAAGAATATTAATACCTATTATTCAGTAGTGAATAATGATCCATTAGTCACGATATGACGTCACGACAGCACGTTTAGGTTTTTATTGTTTTTATGTAACAGCAAATATTTTAGGACAAAATCTTATACTATTATTATAGTGCCAAATTTATTTAATCTAATAAAAAGAAATTTAAATGTCTCAAAATAAACCTAAGCTCAAAAACATATCTACGTTACTATGCGTGATCAAACAAACATCAAACTTACCAATTGAATTTTATTTTGTTAAATACTTATTATTTAGCACTCCAAAATTACAAACAAAACTGCCAAGCATGACTCAAATTTTCTGTTTTCCTGGAAATAAACCGAGAACCGAGGCTCCAACATATTACATACACATAATCCGTACCCATTATTCTGTATATAAGATTATAGGCAACACGTATTACGTAGGTGTACAGGTGATAGTAAGGGTGTACTAAGAACGTTTTGCTGTGAACGCACGTCGACGCTTAGATTATATTTAAGGCTGAGAAACGTCAACTCCGTCAAATCACTTCAATATGAATTTGAAATTAGTAATTTCATTTAAAAGTCGTGGACAAAGTATAGTATTCTGCTCGCATATAATGGCTATTATATGCTCGTTGAATAATATACTATTTGCCCATTCATATTTACATTTATTGAATGAATCATACTTGAGTTGATTTTGGAAATATTGATAGGTACATACTTAAGTACTATTTCTAAAAATTCGTCTATGCCCAGACAGCCCACATAGTCCAATGGACGTCCACTTCAGATCCATTTGAGAGTCAGGACGCCATATCCGGGCATCCAATGTACGTCTGTTTATGCTAATTAATTTGACAGGTGAATATCGATACCCAGAGAACGTCTTTTTTGGACTTAATTTTAAGTTTAGTAGTATTTTGACGTCCATCTTAGGTCATTATTTATTAAGCCTACCAGATATTACCCATCTATATACACTTCTTTTTTTCTAATATAATTGGTCATTAGAAATTGACAAATTGAATCTATTGCATTTTATTCTATCAGCGGAAGTTTGAAATCTTATTCCATTATAACTATATCTAGTAAAAAATTTTGAAGTGGTTCCTTGGTCGAGCTCGTCTAGCGACTGAAATCGTGAAACGATAATGGATGTGTCGTGAGTTCGATTCCTGCTCAGGTCAAGCAATCTTTATTAAAAAAAATAAATGGTGTATAGTTGTTTGCGAAAATAATAAACAAATTATTAATAATATAAAATAGTGTGTGGTGAGTTACGGTTCTGTAAAAAAAGTGGAGGTGTGGTAATGGAAAGATAATCTTAGACGTTTTTTGAATGTCCAGTATTCAACGTCCAAATATATTTCAGAATTGGAGGTCCTCTTAATGGTCAAAAGTATGCCATTTGTATACTTCACTGGACGTCCATTGGATGTCGGAAGTCCAGAAAAAACTCATTTTTGGACGTCTAGATATTCAAAATTGTATATCAAATGGACGTCCGATGGACACATTTGTGTTGTCTGGGTGACAGCCAGGCCAAGTATTTAATTCTAAATACATAAACCTTAAATGCCATCTGGATTATCTTTGCGAGAAAACATTTGTTTCTACAGAAATGAGTAATAAACTTGAAAGTCCTTTTAATATAATATTAATTCAGAAATTCTAAAAATATGTAAGTACTTTTTAAACCGAAAAGTTTTGAAAATACATGCACATACTGATATTTAGTTAAACCTCCCAAACTTAATGTCTTTTTAATTGTTACTTAATTTTTTTTTTTGGTACCCTTAATTTTATTTACCTTATTTTTACTTAAGGAAAAGGTAATTTAATTTAAATATGGGGCTTTTATTTCATTTTTAACAATAAATAAACCAAATATTGTACACATTTTATAGATAAATTATAAAATAATAAACGTCTTTTACTTTTATAACAAATAATTATTACATAATGAATTATATTTTGGTGCCGTTTCACCATTGCTATTAACCCTAACTACTTCAATGTAATTAAATCACATTACATTTGCGCATGGACTATAACAATTAATTCAGATAATTTGCCAAACTATTTCGCTCAGTGTAGAAAATAAGAATGTTTTCTCAGTTATGTATTAATCAAAGCCATGCTGTGAAAAAGGTCCATCCGATATCAAAGACACCGACAGCTACTGTCGCTTCTCCTTGATCGGTATTCTCGGGTGTTACTTTGTGCTCTTAATACACAAATAGCTATTTTGTTACAATAATTTTATAAACTTTTACTTAGGGCCGATTCCACCGTTGTGTTAAACCAAGTTTAAAATACTAAACGAAAATTAGAATGACATTTCTACATTAACAAAAAACGAAGTATAAATTACTAAACGGAGATTAAAATGACATTTTTACTCAGCAATGTCATTTTAATCTTCGTTTAGTAATTTAAACTTTGTTTATAGACCGTCAGATACTGACCGATTTAGGTGCCCCATTTCGCATACAAGCTTCGAAGACGGTTGAAAAGTACATCGATATTGAGTAGAATAAAAGAAAATTTACGAGTGACTCTTGGGGATAACACATGGAAAATTTGATTTTCCTCACAAAAAAAATTCCACTTCCATTTTCCAAATTTTGCACTTATACATTTGGTTCATTCAAGAAAATATGTTTTTCCTACGACCACTTAGGAAAGTGACACATATCACACTATAAAGTCCTATGGAAAGTGCCCTATATCACACGCGTATGAATAAGAATTTACTTTCCACCCGAGTGAGAATATGTTACTTTCCGCAGTAGTTGTTACAAAATGTCAAACACCTAATTTCTATTTTGATCTATGTAATGTCCATATTAATACTAAAATCGATATGATTGTTAAATTATTGAAATTGTTGTAAATTAGATCCTAGATATTTATCTTTAACAATTATTATTAAAATAATTTTACAATAACTAAAATTATGTTTGCTTTTTATTCTGGTTAAACATATAACCGATTAGATCACTCAATTGTCGAAAGGCCTGTTAGCTCAGTTGGTTAAAGCATCAAACTATCAAATTTGCCATTTGAGAGACCTGGCGAACGACCGCGTTCGAATCCTGGCGGGGCCAGAACTTTTTTTTGTTTTTTTTTTAATTTTTTTTGTTTTTTAATTTTTTTTTTGTTTAAAAAATATGAAAATTGAATAAATACGATTGTTGTTGATTATTTTTTTAAATACATTTTAATTATTATAATAACCTGGTTTTACATTTTTTGATGAAAAGAATTTGTGGTCGTAGGAAAAATATTGTACATCACTTGTGTGAAAAGTGATTTTCCACACTCGTGTGATAGTCGCACTCGGCTTGTGCCTCGTGCGACAATATTTCCCACTCGTGTGAAAAATGTCACTTTCCACACTCGTAATGTAATATACTATTTCGCACTAGTGACGATGTACGTTTTCATACATTTGATGGGATTGCGTGGAAAATCGAGTAAAATCGCTATTTTTTCTTATAGAAGATTACGCTCTTATTCCAACCCTTTAGCCACTTGCCACATTAAAGCCTTTGGTTTTCCGAAGCCTACTTCTATTAATTAATCATACTGTGACGTTTGTTTGTGGTCTAAAGTCTTATGGACCCCAATTTTTAATTGACTTATATAATTTTTTTTGACGTAACTGATGAAAATGAAGAATCATCATCAGATGATGCTGATGATTTTAGTTTTTTCCTTTTACTCTACAACATCTTAATTTTCCTAGATATTTTCTGACGTTTCCTTTTTTTTTTCTCTTCCATTATAACCATATTTAATAATTTTCACTCGGTTTAAAATAAAATTACACTTTGTATTTTTATATTTTAGGTTTGTTCCCCAAGCCAGTTCCAAACTTGTTACAAACATTATCTGATACGCATGCGTGAGCAAAATAATGTTTGGAATAAGTTCTGAATAAATGTGTGCTGGAACGTTAAAAAAATTAATGCTGCTGAGTGTTTTAACTAAATACAGGTCATTCGATTATATTTATTAAAAAAAGAAGATTTTGGGATTATACTTTAGGATCAATTCAAAATTGCACAAATAAAAATTACCCTCCTTATTATATTTTTTACTGCTACAACGCTGTATAAAATTTTAGTCAAAATTAAATATAATAGACACTCACAAAACTAACCAAAAAATCAAATTAAAAGCAAAGGAGAAAAAGAAGAAAATTATCTTAAATAAGCACGCATACGCGAAAGTAAAAGTTCGTATTTTATTTAGGAACTATTAAAACTAATAACAAATATGTTATGAACAAGTTTTTAATCTTACGGAAACACCGAACAAGTTCAATTTGTTTGGAACTTTGCTCTACTGGAACAGTTATTTTGTTCTGCGCATACTCAATATGTTAGGAACTCGCTTCGGGAACAAACCTTTTAATGCGACACGCATCACACAAAGAAGTGTTCTGACGGCCGCATGCTGGCAGCGATAAGGAAACAAACAAAAAAGTGTGATTCATTAGTTAAAATTATGGCACACGTAAATATCGCAAAAAGTTACAACCGGGTGTCTCAAATATTTGGAAAAGACCAGTGAAATATAATTAAAATTTTTACGTCAGTGGAAGAAACAGGATTAAATATGTGGTATATTTTTGTAAGTACCTCTTATAGATCCTGTATACCATTTAAATTAAGAATACTCCTTAAAAGTGATTGCATAATAAGACAGTCTTCAACAAATTTACTAACAAAACAATAACTATAATGTGAATAACGTAAAAAAATATCTACCTGTTATATTTCCTGAATGCTTTAAATTGTTCTGAAGCATATGAAAGGCATATCTCTTGTCCTAGTTTACAAGTGTATTCAAAAATTAAAGTTTGTTTTAATGTTCCAATGTGTGTTAAATTATGTGAGTCAAGTTGACCCATGAATGCACTCGTAATCAATTCTAATTGCCACTCCTAAAACAAAAATTTAAAATACTCGATTTTTGGTAGAATAAATAAACACTAATTTTCAAAATTATCGCACTACTAAAAATGTTGATATTATATTTCTATTATTGTAATTTTTAATAAATTTAATATAATATGGTTAATATGAATAAGGGCAATTAAACATTATTACATAAAGAAAGATTTATTTTAATTTAAAGTTGGAACAATTAAGGTACAAAAAATTAAGAAGTGAAAAAAACCTTTTAACTTTATAACAAACAAAACTCCTCGAGCTCTTATGACCGCTTACATTCATCTGGGCAAGCTTATTATCAAGTTTTGTATGGTTGCTTGCGGAATGTTTTCCCATTCTAATAGATGCTCTACTTCTTACAGGTTGATTGGGGCAGGTACATGACGTCGAACTGATTTTTTTCAGAATATCCCAAAGGTGCTCAATTGAATTTAAATCTAAACTTCGTGGTGGCCACTCTAAGATTTGAATATAAATCTCATTTAGGTAATCTAACATAGGTCTTCGATGTGAGGCCTTGCATTATTTTGCATAAAAATGAAAGTATTCCCTATAAATGGCGCAAATGGCATAACATGGTCTTGAATAATGTTTTCTAGATAGAATTCTGCATTCATGGACCGGGGACTAATTCTGTGCGTGCGTCAAAACAAATTCCTCCCCAGAACATTTTTGATCCATCTTTAAATGGTTATAGTGCAATCACAAAACCTTTCTCCAGGTCTCCGCCATACTCTATCATGACTGTCTAAAGATTTTAGACTTACTCTGGTTTCATCTGTGAACAAAATTCTCTTCCAGTCATCGACAGTCCATTGTGCATGATCTCTGGCGAACTTTAATCTGCCTGATCTGTGATCTACGGTAGGAAACGGTGAAGTTACAGGTCTTCTGCTGGCCAATCCGGCTTCTTTTAGTCTTCTCCTAACGGTTAAAGAAGAAATTTAGACATTTGTAACATTTGCGAGTTAATTACTAAGTTCTTTACTTGTACATGTTCGGTTTCTTAACGCTCATAAGTTTGGCTTGTGGCCTTTTTTCTGCCCTGGTCACGCTTTTTAACATGATGTCCAGTTTCCCTAAATCTTCTAACCATTCGACTAACTGTTAATGATAAACACCCAACAAATTGCCCACAGAACGCATACTTTTTTCCACTTCTAGCAAAGTTGCAGCTCTTAGACATTCATCATTGCCTAAATGGCTTGCTCGATTCATGTTTTTTTTAGCGAATAGGTTAAATATTGATCTTGCAAACTAAACTTTTTAATAAAAATTAAAATAAACACTTAAACAGCAACTTTAAACATTACACGCACAAAACTATAATATTGTAAACAAAGTAATTATTGTTTCTCTCTTTGCCAAATTAATACAGTATAGTAGCAACAATTCAAAACTGACAGGAATACCTACTTGACATGAGCCACCTATGATTTTTTACAATAAACGTCAATATTGTCTTAATCAAAATTAATAGAAAATTGTAAGTATTGCGTTAATTTAACAGGAGTTTTCATTTTCATCACCGATTTAATGTATCTTTAGAAAAAGAATAGTAAATTAAAAAAAGTAATAAAAAGAAATTGATGAACGCTAAATTGGTAGTATGATCTTCTTTCCCACTTACACTTTTAGTTTATGTTAAATAAATAATTACCTACTTTTAACAGTTTCTCGTAATCATCATCGATTATATTAAGAAGGAACGAAAAAGATCGTAATGCTGAGGTCCACGGATAATAATTAGTTTCATTTTTCAAATAGTGTGCCAAACCAAAAGCCTTTTCGTAACTAATTTTCCCACTTTTGGCTACGTGAAATATATCGTCAATAATTTGTGCTCTATTCAGAGGATGTATCGATTCTTTTTCATCATCCGAATTTAAAGCTTCTATCAGCTTGTTCCACAATGAATCATCATAATTAACTCTATAGAAGCCTGAAAATAGAAAAAGAAAATAAAAGCTTTCAACATAAAGATTAAATTCACTTGTTTTCAAATTGTAATTTTAACTTTGTAGAACTTTATTTATATATAAAATAGTATTTTAAGGTATAAGTGGATAATAAGGTCATTAAAACACGCCCCAGTGTTTTAAAGATAAGTTATCGACGATTACTTTACGCAATTTTCTTAAACACTGTTATTGTTAATAAGTACTACACAAAATCTGATTTGTCCAACACATGACTTTCCTGTCGAGTTATTAGAGGCTTTTTAACACGCTTATATTAGCTTCACCTGTATGAATGTTTGTAACTCTCCTTTGGACTCAAGTGGCTTATTACTCTAAGTCAAGTTTGTTCGTTGGCCGAGAGGTCTAAGGTGCGGGTTTTCGATTGCCAGACTCACCGATCGTGAGTTCTAATCCCCACGGCTGAAAAAAAATATTTTTTTTTCAGCAATTTTAACTTACAATTTTTTTTTAATAATTAATCGAACTAAAAAGTAAAAAATAAATATAGTTTAAAAAAATTAAAAAAATACGCTTTTAGAGCATATCAAACTAAAAAGTTTTTTTTTAACACGCTTTTATTCAAATAAGCTTAAAACAATAATACATGGAAAATACTAGTGTTATTGTGGAAAAAGCGTGGGGCGTTCTGTCCATATTTCTCGTATATCGAGCGTCCGATGATTTTTTCACCATAATACTAGTATTTTTCATTTATTATTGTTTTAGGCTTATTTGAATAAAAGCGTGTTAATAAAAAATATTTCTAACTTGTTAGTTTGATATGCTCTAAAAGCTTTTTTTTAGTTTTTTTATATTTTTCCGATTATTTTGTAAAACCCAGTGTATCACTCCTGTAAATGTTTAGATTTTACATTTTACTTTGGAAATATATTTATAAAAGTGAAAAAGCGATATAATCTAGACAAACAAAATGAACGAAACGTACTTAAAAAATCTACTGTAACTTTAATTGTCGTCATCATCATCACTAAAATAGCGTATTTTCGCAAACTATTTTTCGAAAGTTCTTCAGTTGCTAGAACATCTTGACCCAATGTCAATGTCCGTCATCTGTTCTTCACATCAAAATGAAATGTCATGTGGTTTAGTTTTCGCACACGGGACAAACTGTTTAATCGTATCCTACTAATACAGTGCGTCCATAAAGTAACGCATAAATTCATTATTGGCTAAATGAACAATAAAATTAGGAATTCCCAAAACAGGTCGATTTTTTATTTTAATTTACTATTGTTTCAAATCATAATCTAATATACAGGGTGAACCACTTTCGTGTAATGACGTCATCACCATTTTTTTCAAATGGAACCCCCCCTTTTTTTTCAATTTCCAAATTGCCTTTGCTGAGCTGATTCCAAAAATGTATAATATGTTGCTTCAAATTGGTACAGGGTGGGCAAAAATGCAAAAATAAATAAAAATAAAAATAAAAAAAATAAATAAAAATAAATAAAAATAAATAAAAATAAATAAAAATAAATAAAAATAAATAAATAAAAATAAATAAAAATAAATAAAAATAAATAAAAATAAATAAAAATAAATAAAAATAAATAAAAATAAATAAAAATTAATCTAAATAAATAAAAATTAATAAAAATTAATAAAAATTAATAAAAATTAATAAAAATTAATAAAAATTAATAAAAATTAATAAAAATTAATAAAAATTAATAAAAATTAATAAAAATTAATAAAAATTAATAAAAATTAATAAAAATTAATAAAAATTAATAAAAATTAATAAAAATTAATAAAAATTAATAAAAATTAATAAAAATTAATAAAAATTAATAAAAATTAATAAAAATTAATAAAAATTAATAAAAATTAATAAAAATTAATAAAAATTAATAAAAATTAATAAAAATTAATAAAAATTAATAAAAATTAATAAAAATTAATAAAAATTAATAAAAATTAATAAAAATTAATAAAAATTAATAAAAATTAATAAAAATTAATAAAAATTAATAAAAATTAATAAAAATTAATAAAAATTAATAAAAATAATAAAAATTAATAAAAATTAATAAAAATTAATAAAAATTAATAAAAATTAATAAAAATTAATAAAAATTATTAAAAATTAATAAAAATTAATAAAAATTAATAAAAATTATTAAAAATTAATAAAACTCAATAAAAATTAATAAAAATTAATAAAAATTAATAAAAATTTATAAAAATTAATAAAAATTAATAAAAATTAATAAAAATTAATAAAAATTAATAAAAATTAATAAAAATTAATAAAAATTAATAAAAATTAATAAAAATTAATAAAGATTAATAAAAATTAATAAAAATTAATAAAAATTAATAAAAATTAATAAAAATTAATAAAAATTAATAAAAATTAATAAAAATTAATAAAAATTAATAAAAATTAATAAAAATTAATAAAAATTAATAAAAATTAATAAAAATTAATAAAAATTAATAAAAATTAATAAAAATTAATAAAAATTAATAAAAATTAATAAAAATTAATAAAAATTAATAAAAATTAATAAAAATTAATAAAAATTAATAAAAATTAATAAAAATTAATAAAAATTAATAAAAATTAATAAAAATTAATAAAAATTAATAAAAATTAATAAAAATTAATAAAAATTAATAAAAATTAATAAAAATTAATAAAAATTAATAAAAATTAATAAAAATTAATAAAAATTAATAAAAATTAATAAAAATTAATAAAAATTAATAAAAATTAATAAAAATTAATAAAAATTAATAAAAATTAATAAAAATTAATAAAAATTAATAAAAATTAATAAAAATTAATAAAAATTAATAAAAATTAATAAAAATTAATAAAAATTAATAAAAATTAATAAAAATTAATAAAAATTAATAAAAATTAATAAAAATTAATAAAAATTAATAAAAATTAATAAAAATTAATAAAAATTAATAAAAATTAATAAAAATTAATAAAAATTAATAAAAATTAATAAAAATTAATAAAAATTAATAAAAATTAATAAAAATTAATAAAAATTAATAAAAATTAATAAAAATTAATAAAAATTAATAAAAATTAATAAAAATTAATAAAAATTAATAAAAATTAATAAAAATTAATAAAAATTAATAAAAATTAATAAAAATTAATAAAAATTAATAAAAATTAATAAAAATTAATAAAAATTAATAAAAATTAATAAAAATTAATAAAAATTAATAAAAATTAATAAAAATTAATAAAAATTAATAAAAATTAATAAAAATTAATAAAAATTAATAAAAATTAATAAAAATTAATAAAAATTAATTAAAATTAATAAAAATTAATAAAAATTAATAAAAATTAATAAAAATTAATAAAAATTAATAAAAATTAATAAAAAATAATTTCTAGGTATTGTATGCAAAAATTTCTCTTGAGTAATTGAGGTTTGAGAAATTCCAGCGAAGCAGGATCGGGTCAGCTAATCAATAATAATTATTACATTCAACTATGGAACGTAGAAGCAAAGAGAACTTTGCACACTTTAAATAGGTGTCTTTCATTTCTACTCATTTCCTATTATCCACTTACCAATTTCTTGAATATTAACAATGAGCCATTCGTTGCTATTGTGTTGAATTTCCAAAGTTTCATTGGGCTCCAACCAATATTTGATTTTTACAGAAAAATCTTTTAAGTTTTCTGTAGTATAACTAATTGGAACATACCATTGGGATTTTAAACTACAGTTTTTGCTTGTACAAAATCTTTCCTAAAAATGTGTATACATCTACATTAATGAAGAAAATACAGAATGTTAATGAAATAAACGTACATATTTAAACGTATTAGAACGTATTAAAACGCATTAAAGGGTATTAAAAGGTAAAAAAAATGAATTAAAACGCATTAAAACGTATTAAATACGTATTAAAACGTATTAAAACGTATTAAAACGTATTAAAACGTATTAAAACGTAGGAAAACGTATTTAAACGTTATTAAAACGTTTTTAAACGTATTAAAACATTAAATAATAATAATTAATAATAATTCTTTTGTCACATTTTTATTAAATTTATTTAATTATAAGATTCTAGAAAGTAATTAGGGATATACTTACTTGAGTAATTGTAATGGTTGTGCAATTTTTTTGGGACACTGATATTAATGGATAACCAGGTTCGTAAATCCAATTGTGCATTTTCTTTTCAAAATTAGTTAGTTCAGATCCAGCTACATCTTGTAAGGCAATGAGAAGCTTTTTAGGGTTTACATTTCTGTATTTACTACAAAATAAGAAATATAGACCTGTATTTTTAAAATTTACTTAATTAATATAATAATAAAATACAATATAAATACGAGCCAAAACTTATCCTGGTAAAAAATAAGGCCGAAAGGGGACTATTGACCCTGCTAATCAATGTTTTGACTATTAAATGCTCAAAAATGATAAATTTGTATGTGGTAGGTATTTACCAAAATAAAATATTAAAAAAAAGAACGTCAATTCTTTTGTCGATTTATAGGTACAATTTCATTTTTCATTTGAATCCTGTATATAGAATTTTATTTTTCAAACATTGCAGGAAGAATATATTATTGTCACCAAATACAGGGTATTGTATTGAAAAGAATTAACGATGACGTCATTATATTAATGTGAATCACCCTGTATAATGATTTGTTTTGTATAAAATCGACGTATTTAATTTTTTTTTTAATGATTTTGGTTTAATAAATAATGAATTTATTCCTTACTTTGAAGAGACACACTATGATTATAATTTGTGCCTAGATAGTTAACAAATAAAATGTGTTTTCCAAGGTAATAAAAAAATAGTTTTAAGTACTTTATTCTTAAATCAAGTAAAATAACAATAATTTTTCGTTCTTTTATAGATATTTTTATACCGTTTGACTTTGTACCTGCCTTGAAAATGGTAAGTCTTTTGGAAGCGTCTTATAAGGAAACGACAATATTTATACATCTACAGCTTTTCAAATTCAGTTAAAATGCTAATTCTAGGTAATATTTAAAGTTGGTTATAATAGTTACCTGGTAATAAACACGAACGCAAGTTTTACCACTGGAGACAATTTCTCTTGGCAGGTTTAAAGTCAAACAGTCATTAAATGAATCCACCTATACAATATTTACAAATTTCTTTTTTATTATCTTACTTTTCTGTTAAATAGTTCTGCAATCCCTTCTTAAATTTTTTTTCTCCTAAAATATGGTTCATCATCCTTACAATTATTTCACCTAAAACAATTAAGTCTATAACACTAACTACGGTAGGGTGATTTCTTACGTTGTTTCGTTTTTGAGATACAGGGCGTTAAAGTTGTAAATAATTCGGTATTTTATAAATATCATAAATATCCTTAAACCGATTTAGTTTAAATTTAGTAAAGTAATAAGGCGTAACTAAAACTATATCCATCCAACAAACAGAGCGACCCAAACAACGATCGATGCGTGATCGAAGCATGATCACCACGCGTCTTTGCATCTATTGGCTAAAATAAACATGTCTCCTTACACTGGCCAATCAGATTTAACTGCAATCGGCCGGCGAAATTCATTACTTTTGGTACATCGCTACAGGGTAGGAATGGTCAGTTACGTATTAACGATCTGTGGTGTTATAGATTTTTAGTGTACATATACGGTATTTTAAAGATTTAAATTTTTAAAATGTCAGATGCTGATACGGCTGAAGAAACTGCTAATTTGTGTTTCCACAGTCCACCTAAAAAAAGACCAGAAAAACTGCATTTTAGTATTAATGAAAAAAATGTAATTATGAACATTTACAAAAATCAAATCGAAGCAAATCCTTTATTGTCAGTTGATGAAATCGTAAGAAAAGTAGGAAACATTGCTGGAGTGTCTCCTTTAAGTGTCTATGCACTTATAAGAGAATATAAACAAAAGCATTCTTTTTCGGCTCCAAAACCATACCCCTCACGAAAGAAAATTATTGATATGGTAGACTATTTTGATTTAAATACTATTAGAAGGAAAGTACATCAATTTTTTTTCTGAAACGAAGTGCCACCAAAGATTCAGTTCTAAAAGTTGTAAATGATGATCTACCAAGTTTCAAAAGGTCGACATTCCACAAGTTATGTTTTAAGGGGGTCCTCTAGTTTCTCGGTTGTTTTTTTTTACGGCTTTTTCAATAATTTTTTACGGGCAAACCATCGAAATAACAAATATTGTTTTTACATAATATTTATTAACATTTGAATGCGCTTTACAAATTTTTTAAAGACAAAATATATAATAGAATCAAAGTTATAGTGGCCGACAGGAAGACATCAAGTGAAGGACGGTGACCACGATATTTCAGAAACTACTGCACCCATGTTGTTCACATTTATACGACATCTTTAATATGTTATAAGCCAGCGATTGAACTAGGATTATCATGATTGCTTCGATAGTTTTTTTTTACGAGCGAGAAACTTAATAAAAAATGAGTAAAAAATAGAATTTAATTTTCAAAAGTGTATAAAAAAAATTAATAAAATTTATTCTGGTTCAATCGCTTGTCTTAAATATGAAGATTAAAATGCCGTTTGGTTTTTTGATTTCTGATAAGCAAAACAGCCGCAATCTTGGTCACTGTCAAGCACCTCCTTCACTTGATGTCTTCCTGTCGGCCACTATAACTTTGATTCTATTATATATTTTGTCTTCAAAAAATTTGTGAAGCTCATTTAAATGTTAATAAAGATTATGTAAAAACAATGAGATTTGTTATTTCGGTGGTTTGCTAGAGGACCCCTTTTAAATTTAAAAAAAGAGGAAGAAACAGTTTGTTGCTCGAGAAACCAGACATAGTATTGTGGAGACGTCAGTATTTAATGAAAATAAGGGCCTATAGAAGAGAGAATATGAAAATTTATTACATGGACGAAACTTGGGTAAACGTAGGCTATACTAAGTCAAAAATTTGGGTTGATGAATCCATAACTTCTTCAAGGCAAGCATTTTTAGATGGCCTCTCAACTGGGTTGAAGAACCCTTCAGGTAAGCATCACTTTATTATACTCTCAATAAACTGTGTGTGTCGGTGAACAAAATAACTTGTGAACGGATTAAAGTATTAATGTAAAATCTACCAAAAATGAAATAGGCAGTATATTTTTCTGTATCAACTAAAAAAAATAAATCTCCTTGTAGGAAAAGGAAAAAGGTTGATAGTATGTCACATTGGAAGCGAAACCGGTTTTGTGGGCCTTTGAGTCGAAGAAAACGAGCGACTATCATGAGGAGATGGATGGCAAATCGTTTGAGAATTGGTTTGGTAACATAGTTCCGAACCTAGAAGAGAATTGTGTATTTGTTTTAGAAAACGCCCCTTACCATTCTAGAAAAGCTGAAAAAATTCCTACTACAGCTACAAAAAAAGGCCCTAATCCAAGACTGGTTGCGTTTGAAAAGTATACCATTCGAGGATAACATGGTAAAAGCAGAACTTTTGAAGATAGTGAATGAACATAAAACCAAATATAATAAATACATTGTCGACGAAATTGCTAAATCACATAATAGAATAGTATTACGTCTTTCCCCTTATTACTGCGAGCTCAACCCAATAGAGCTTATTTGGGCGGACATAAAAAACTATGTTGCCCAAAAAAAATTACTTTTAAATTTTGCCATCTTAAAAATATTTCTAGTGAAGCTGTTTTGTCTATTACCGCGGAAAAATGGAATAATTGCGTAGGGTATATAAAAGATAAGGTCAGATCAGGGTGACTGATGAACACAGAATGGTAGACCGCGATTTGAGGGATTTTTTGTAGGGTAAAGTAACATTGGTGACAAGTGTAACCTTATTCTAAAGTTTTAATTTACTTTTCTGGATAAATAATAAAAGGGCGTCGTAGATCGATAGTTTGTTAAGGGGCAGAAGGTATAATAAATCGAAGGGGAGGGAGGTAAATTTTGCATTTTGTTAGGTTTTCAACAACTTGATCGCTGTGATTTCCGAATTTATTACTTTCGAAGAATACATGGTCTAAATCGCCTAGTGTATTGCAAGTGTCACAAAGATTAGATTCTTATATACCAATTTTTTGCAAATGGAGAGGGTAGCATGTGTATCCGAATTTTAGTCTGCTAATCTGTAACTATTTAATTTCTTGTGTGAGTTTTTTGTGCCACACTTCATTAGGGATGACTGGGTGCAGCAAAGTGTAGCCGGTTGAGGAGTCATTGCAGTATTGTTTCCACAAGTATTTCCAATTATCTTTAAGACTTTTTTTAAAGTGTCAAATGCATTCATCGTTACTGATATTGTTTTCCATATGCTGTCCAGTGTTAATGCTTTGTCAACTATTTCGTTGAACTGTATGTCGGCATGTGCTTTTATCCACAGGAAATTAATACTGAAGTTTTGGTTTTTAAGCTTGATAATCAGTAATTTTAAGCTGATTATATAGAGATTGTTGTAAGGGCTTATTAGGAGGGTTTGGTTGTAGTTTATCCATTGATTTGTAGCTTAAATTGCTTGCTTATTTGCTTGTCCGCTTGTAGGTAACTCTTTCTGCATGCCAATGGAGAAATGCAATCCTCGAGTGTCTGCCTCCTCGTGGCACCACTGGATACGTTAATATTGTTGCTCTATGAACAGCACTATTAACTAAATAAATGGCACTCTATCAATACCCCAAGCCAAGGTGTAAGGCAACGTGCTGAAGGCTGAATGGCCGCGGGGAAAGCGGTTTCGAACGTTCCTCTGGGGGCACCTGGCGAAACCCTCTTGTATCCAGCCTTGCCGGCGCATGCGGGGCTCTGCGTCGATCGACTTTTCTTTTCCTAGCTGTTCGTGGGATTTACATGAGTAAGAAAACAAAATAAAGTAAAAACCGGTGGAACTACACCGCCACTAAATCTGATCAAACGGAGCCTGTCATCCAAAGCGATCAACCTCCCTCAAGCTCTCAAGTGAGGCAACCTCACAAAATAGAAGTGGGAAAACAAAAGAAAGAGGTGAAGGGAGAAGAGAAGAGGAGCACCATCGCTCCATCCCCCTCTCACCACTCATCGGCGAGGGAAGCTCCCCTCAAGAAATAATCTAAACGCAAGCTATCTTCCCTACCTCCACTGGAAAAACCTGGTGGAAGGGACGACCCACTGAGGCATGGACTCAGTGGGACAGGGGTTCGATGGTATCTTCGCTACCTCGTTCAGGGCATGCCACCGGAGGAAGCGAAAAGGAAAGCTGTGGAGCACAAATCCCAGGGAGAGGGAAGTAAAACCAATCCTAAGGATCTGAAAAGAAAGCGGGACAGAAATAACACCACACCACCGCAAAAGAAAGAAAAGAAAAGTGGCCGATACTTCTGCTTCTGGCAGTTATGCAACTGTCGTGAAGACGGAGCGGGTCACGATCCTACCTAAGGGGTTCCCTGAGACCATCCTCAGTGCGAACGAACAAACCTTGGTGGAAGAAGCCATAGTAGAAGAGATGTTCGTTGGATGGGAGCATAAGCTCCAATTCGGAGGCATCCACTTCCAGCCAGGAATGGTCTTGATCTACAGTGAAATCCCACAGTCAGCAGAATGGCTCAGGGCAAAAATCCCACACCTGAGCAACTGAAAGGGAGTGGAGTTGGAGGTATGTGCGGGAGACGACATCCCGAAAGCACATACAGCCACGCTCTTTCTCCCAAGAAGTCAAGGGCAGCCTGTAGAGAAGCTTCTACAGCTAATAGAAGCGCAGAATGTGGGGCTATCAACCACACTGTATAAAATCGTCAGCCAAAAAGACGAGGGCAAAGGCCAGATCCTTAGGTTAGGAATAGATGACCTATCCTGTCAACGGATCAAGGATAATGGATGCACTATCCACTATCGATTCGGGAAAATCCCCGTATATAGCTTTCAAAAGAAAGAAGAAATAAAGGAACTGGGAGAAACAACAGAACTAACTCCTAGTACTTCCAAAGATGAGACTGATGTGGATAGCATAGAGAGCCTTAACCTCTCAAATCTCTTCGTAGACTCATATGAGGATGTAGAAATTGATGAAGAAGCAGAAGAGGGGGATATGGAACACACCCTCACCGATGGGGACAACACCCCCATTAAAGGAGAGTAAAATGGCGGGCATCGACATCACCCAAGTAAATGTCCATCACGCCAAGGGAGCCTCGGCTGTGATCTCCAGGACATTCACATAAGATCAATTACGGATCGTACTGATCCAGGAACCGTGGGTCTATGAAAACTAGGTAAGAGGACTTGCATGTAAAGATGCAAGGGTAATTTATCATATTAGTGATGAAGTACCCAGAACATGCATAATGGTAAGAAGTAATATTAAATATTCTTGTGTTTCAGAATTCATGACGAGTGATCTCGTTCCAATTTGAGCATACCTGGAATTAGGGATGAGGCGGCAAGACATAGTAATAGCTTCTAGTTACTTCGCCGGAGATGGGCATGTACCACCCCCGGAAGTATCGAGGCTAGTGGAGTACTGCCAGAGAAGACATCTGCCATTACTTCTTGGATGCGACGCCAACGCGCACAGCACTGTATGGGGAAGCAACGACACCAATCAAAGAGGCGAGCAACTTTTAGAATATATTTTTAATAAGAACCTCATTGTGCAAAATATTCGAAATACTCCAACATTTGTAACAAGGGTAAGACGTGAGTTATTAGACATCACATTAAGCACACCGAGCATTAAAGATCTAGTTAAAAACTGGAGGTTATCGAGAGAACCATCTCTATCTGATCACAAGATAATTGTGTTTACGTTAGAGAGCGACATTCCTGAGATGATCCTGAGGAGGAATCCTAGAAAAACAGACAAATACAACACCATTCTAAAACAAAATTTAGCATGTATTCAGACAAAAAAGGGGCCGGGGCACCCACTTGCCCTGGAAAGCGACCTAGAAAAACTAAATGGGGCAATACTTGAGGCATATGAATCAATCTGCCCCATTCAAAGAAATAGAACTAGTAGGGATGCTCCTTGGTGGAACCGTCATCTGTCAAACTTACGATCCGAAGTGCGGAAGCTCTATAATAGGGCCAAGCACAGCGGAGATTGGCAGAGCTACACCGAGGCGCTTATTACCTACAACAAAGAAATCAGGAAAGCTAAACGTAACAGCTTTAGAAAATTCTGCGAGGATATTAACTCTACACCTGCGTCAGCGAGACTGCACAGGGCCCTGGCAAAAGGGAGAGTTGATACAGTTATGGCATTAAAGAAAACAAATGGAAGCTTCACGGAGAGTGAAGAGGAAAGAGCTCGCCTCTTACTCGAAACCTACTTTGCTGGAAGCATACCTTTTCTAATAAGGGACACAACTAAGGTAAGCAGACCCCCAAGAGAGGCCGCTGTAGTGGCCAAACACATATGCAGCAGAAATCGGTTAAGGTGGGCCGTAAACACTTTTGAACCGTTTAAGTCTCTAAGTGTGGATGGAATATTTCCTGCCCTGCTTCAGCAGGTACAGGAGGAATTACTACCACACATAATCCGGCTATCCCGGAGCAGTCTGCAGCTGGGATATATACCAGAAGGATGGAGAAGGGCCAGAGTCACCTTTATTCCAAAAGTAAGGAAAAAGGATACCACACATCCTAAGTCTTTCCATCCAATCAGCCTCACATCCTTTGTATTAAAAACAATGGAGAAGGCTGTTGATAATTATATCAGAACAGAAGTCCTGGAGAGGGTGTCACTCCACCATACCCAACACGCGTACCGAGCAGGAACATCTATAGAAACTGCTTTGGTACAGTTGACTGATGTGATCCAGGATGCACTGACAAACAAAGAAACGGTTGTGTGTGCCTTCCTAGACAGCTTTTGACAACACGCCACACGAATCTGTAAAAAGAGCACTTGCATACAGAGGAGAAGATAACATCACATCCAGATGGATGGCTCAGCTCTTATCTACGAGAACTGCAGAGACACAGATAGGGCAGGACACCATCTCTATCTGCATAACCAGAGTATGTCCACAAGGAGGAGTTCTATCCCCTCTAATATGGAGCCTAATCATAGACGAACTTCTATGCAGATTGACTGACCTCGGCATACTCTGTCAAGGTTATGCCGACGACATAGTTATATTTGCTAGTGGCAAGTTTAGTAATATCCTGTGTGATATAGTCCAACGAGGACTAGAACATACCAAAAGATGGTGCCGTGAAGTGGGACTTAGTATAAACCCTACAAAAACAACACTAGTAGCCTTTTCAAGGAAAAGAAAAGTTAATCTCAAAACCGTTAAATTAGACGGGATAGATATAGAATGGAAAATATAGAAAATATAGAATGGAAAATATAGAAAGTCAAATATCTAGACCTAACCCTGGACAACAAATTTATCTGGAACACACATGAGAAGGAAGTAGTAAATAAGGCCACAAAAGCCCTAATGGTATGCAGAAACATTGCAGGTAAACGATGGGGACGTAACCCAAACATATAACGATGGATGTATACTGCAATAGTGAGACCAATCATCACTTACGGGGCTATAGCCTGGAGTAACAGAACTAGTCTAGCTACTACGAGATCTAATATCTCAAAACTAGCCTGTGTTTGCATTACTGGTGCAATGAGAACCTGTCCTACGGCCGCAATGGAGGTGATCTTAAACCTCACCCCTCTACATTTGATGATAAGGGCTTATTATGTCTATTGGACGTGATATGCTAGTAAGGACTCACTGTGAATCTGAAATAATGACCGTGTTTTTTATTTGATGTTCCTCAACGTAGTTTAAAGCATTAAAAATGCCTAATGCTTTGGCTCAGAAAATTGATGAATAATCGTTTAACTTATTTTTGTTTTTTTTTTTTAACCTTCAAGACGGGGATAAGGAAAGCCCAACCAGCTCCATCAATTTGTTTAGAGGCGTCTGTGTAGATATGTACAAAATCCGGGTACTTTGACAAGTGGAGATTTACTATATTATTACTGGTTATTGGGATACCACTGTAGGTAGGGGTTACTATATATGTATTGGTTCTAAAGCCATAAATAATTCATATACATCATATTGAGCAGGCTTATGTACGTAATCAAATAAATTGTGGTTGTTTCTGAAGGAGATACTTTTTTTGACCAGTATTTGTTTGTCAAATCATATGTATTTAGTAATGCAATTTTATTTATGTTGCAAGGATTAGTTATACATGATTTCATAATAAATTAGTCAGACAATAATTCACCGGGGGGGTGGGTCGTTTCAGAACTATCTCTGTTTACAAAAAGTGTCTTTCTAAATGTATAAAATTAGAATGGCGTAATATTGTAGCAACACAGGGATTCTTTTATGCGAAATCAACACGTCACGTATTGAATAGATAGAGACATTAGAAAAGAATTAATTAAATAGTTGATCACTTTTGCTACTAGAGGAAAAAGGACAAATACAGTAAGTATAAACTAAAATAAACGTTTGAGAAAAATAACATTTCAGAGAGTAAAAACAACGATAAAAAAGGGGTATAGGGGGTGGGCCGTTACAGTACCAAGTTTAAGAAAAATGGGCGTTATGATTTTTTGATAAAAATAAAAAAAATCTATTTTTTTCCATGTTCATGATAGGTACTTTGAAAACGAAGTTAAATATAAAGAAAACACAAAAAAAGTTGTACTTTTAGTTTAGTTGCTTAATCTGAAAAATAAAAAAACTTTAATAAGGCCAGTGGTGTACTTTTTTTTCTCTCAATAATACTGGCTGTGGTGCCAACTGAGACGCTACTGGACCCAATAATTTCATTCTAGATAGGGCTAAATAAGCGCCTTATTACTTAAAATAATTGTACCAAATTTCAACCAAATCTGTTTAAGGATATTTATGATATTCATAAAATACCCATTTTTTTTTAACTTTAATGCCCTCAGAAGCGAAGCAAGTCCTGATATATGTTCATAGGATTTGTTTTTATTAAATTGACCTAAAGAAAATCTCTGAAGTTTCGCACCGTAGTTAGGAAACACCCTGTATTTTACTACAGTGAGAAAAATCATTGCTAGTGGGTATTAAAAATTGACTAATGGTTATTTAATTATTTAATATTATATGAGACAGCTAAACTGATTAATAACTTTCTGTATTTGATCAGTATTAACAAAAGCAAACTAATAAAAAACACTAGAAAATTAATTTGATAACAGGTATTATACAGTTTCTTTAAAACTTTTCTCATTACGTGCCATGACGGGAATGATTAGTGTTATTAACCGAAAATTAAGTAATTCGACTTTGAAACTTCCGTTTAAATTATAATGTAATGAATTTTCATTACTAGTTTAAGTCAGACATAAATATAATGGTTCCGAATAACTAACTACCATACCTTTGAGATAAGGGTCTTCATTAAAGTTTAACATAATTTCGAGAGCTGTTCTTACGGATTGTTGGGGAGTTGACAATGGAGTTGAAGTAGATGTTGCATCTTTTTCTAATGTTTTTTGCATAACGTCGACCACTGATTGTTTATCGAGTTCTAAAGTTCCATTCATGACCTAAAAATTTAATAATAGGTAAAATAAGGAGCCTAGTAGTATGAGGTATTTAGCTACAAATAATTATTAGTTGTTTCTAGAAGTATTATACAAATTAATAACAAGAGTATACAGGGTAGGGTGTACCAATAAAAATTCTCAGGCCGGATATTTTGAAGCAATAGAGATATTTTATTTCTGTAAAAGCCAGTTCATAGAGCGCTAAGAGAGCTTCAGTTTTAGATATAAATTAATTTTAAATAGGTCAATATGTAGATGGCGCTGCGCTCAATATTTTATTTACGATGGGAGGCTCTTATATAGCGCATCTTGTAATGAATGCATTTTTAAGCAGATTTTGTTTTATAAACTAATTCGATAAATGTAGTCATTTTTTATATACAGAGTGGGTACTCGTAACAGTTTCATCCTGTTTTTCGGCATTAATAATTGGATATTCAGAAAATGCTAAAACAAGTCAATTTTATTCCAAATTGAACACATTTCTACAACACAGACATCTGTCATGTGTCAATCCCCTCCCTTCCACTTCTCCAACCCCTTAATTATAAATAAGAAATGTACCATATACGGTACATCATTAAAAGGTAATTTTATGGGGAAGTCAGAAATATGACTGTTTATTGCGATACTTTTAATTTTAGTGCCCTCTATCGAGATAAAAAAACCTGTACCATATTATAAATTATGACATTTCATTTAAAAGCTAATTTAATTACTAATTCAATGTACTACATAACATTAATATAAATATTTCCATATTGCACTTGCAACAAAATAAAGTTAGCAATAATGTTTAAAATAATGCATGACTAATTTTCAAACTATTGCAAGTGCAATATGGAGGATATTTATATTAATGTGGTGCATTCTTAGATAAAAGAGACCAGAGATATAACATACACCGGTTTTAAACCTGCGCAAATGTTGCCAATTTCTAAAGAAGGGTTAACGGAGTGGGGGAACTGGGCGGCGACACGCGGCGACCCGAACTCTGTGACAGGGACCGGACTTTGTTTATTAGCATCTTAATGAACTATTAGGTTTATTTAAAAAATGTTTAATCGAATTTTGTATTATGAAATAAAATTAACGTGATTTTTTAATATCAAACAGATGCCACGACATTTTATGTAAAGAGAAGACCTTTTATAGAATATTTCGTTAGCGTTTATTTACTACGGACTTTTCTGCAAGAGATTACAGTAAAATGTTGAAATAGAATATATTGTTAATAGAGCAAAAACTGTTACTCATTGTCTACGAGTATTATAAAAAATAGCATGTGCGCAGGCTAATACTGCAAATCTACCCTTATGAGTTGAACATTATATTTTTTCTACGGCTATTACATAATAATAAAAATTAGTCAAAATGAGAAAATGCTGTTTTGTATTATAACCTCAGAAAAAGGTATGTTAAGGCTTCTTTCTTTAGGAATATTAATTATTATAAAGGATGAGTCACATAAAACTCTAGAAATGCATATGTCTGAAACCAGATAACATTTTAAAATTTAAATCTATTAAAAGTCATTTGGTCGCTAGGGATGAGTGATTATCGAAATAAATTATCGATCATTGAAAATAATCGATTATTTTCGATCAATCGATTATTTTCAAACAATATATTTTTTGTCATTTCCTTTAAAATCGACTACTTGATTATCTTTGAAAAATCAAAAATAATCGATTAATTAAAAAGCCAATTAACCGATAAATCAGTGTTTACAAAATATAATATAAATAGAATAATCGTTTTATTTTAAATAATCGATTATTTTCAAATAAACCATTTTTTTTCGTCCATGGAAACAGATTATTTGATAATCTTTGAAAAATCGTAAATAATCGATTAATCAAAAATAATCGATTAATTAAAAAGTCGAATAACTGATAAATCGATTTAAAAAAAAAACAGAATGATCGATTATTTTAAATAATTGATTATTTTCGATCAATCGATTATTATCAATAATCTATTTTTATTGTATTTCCTTTAAAATCGTTAATTCGATTATCTTTGAAATACCGAAAAAAATCGATAATTCCAAAATAATCGCCTAATCGAAAATAATCAATTAATTAAGAAGCCGATTCTATGATAAATCGATTATTACCAATAATCTATTTTATTGTATTTCAAAAATAATCGATTAATAAAAAAGTCGATTAACTGACAAATCGATTAAAAAAAAACAGAATGATCGATTATTTTAAATAATCGATTATTTTCGATCAATCGATTATTATCAATAATCTATTTTTATTGTATTTCCTTTAAAATCGATAATTCGATTATCTTTGAAATACCAAAAATAATCAATAATTCCAAAATAATCGCCTAATCGAAAATAACCAATTAATTAAGAAGCCGATTCTATGATAAATCGATTTTCCAAAAAATAAAACGAATTATCTATTATTTTCTAATAATCCTTTTTTCATATTTCCTTTGAAATTGATTATTCGATTATCGAAAATAATTGATTATTAAAAAGCTGATTATCCAATAAATCGATAATTTTTAAAAAATAACAAAAATATCGATTATGTAAAATAACCGATTATATTCAATCGATTATTTTCATATAATATCTTAGAAAAATCGAAAATAATCAAATAATTAAAAACCGATTAAACGATAAATCGATTATTTTGAATAAATCTACTTTTTTTGTATTTCCTTTAAAATCGATTAATACATTATCTTAAAAAAAACGAAAATAATTTATTAAAAACAGCGGATAAATCGATTTTCATTAAAAAATATCAGAATTATCGATAAATCGATTATTTTTGTAACCCCTATCGGTCGCTTGCTTTTATCTGAGCATTTAGCTCCAAAATTTAGAGATTCGGATTTTTTGATCCAGTTATCTTTGAAATCGCATTCGATTGTATAATAAATAAATATTGCTAAATTTTGGATTTTTTTTAGTAAACGAAAATTATGTTCGAGTTGTTTAGGGGTTTGTAATGTAACATTTTATTAACGTGACTAAGGGTCGATTCCACCGTTGTGTTAAACGAAGTTTAAAATGACATTTTTACATTAACACTGTCATTTTAATCTCCGTTTAACACAACGGTGGAATCGGACCTAACTCCTGTAACTTTAGTATTTTTTTGGGCTTATACTAGATTACTTTGTTTTAAGACTGAAAATTCAATGTCACTTTCGATTTGACCGCAAATAAGATGAACCTTGAAATTTTAAGTAGGTCATCCTGTATTTCATCTAATATTCTTATAAAAATACCTTATAAAAATACCTTATAAAAATACCTTATAAAAATACCTTATAAAAATACCTTATAAAAATACCTTATAAAAATACCTTATAAAAATAAAATTTAGCTAGCAACTATGATTCTTTACCTCTTATTTATTTACCAAAAAGGGCTAAAAACTACCTTTAGAAAACATTCTTATAAAACTACTTTTTAAATACAAAATTTCGTTAGCAATAATGCCTATTTACTATTTATTTAAATTAAATGTTCAAAATTTTACCCTTTTGTAAATTTATGTAAGTAATATGAAATCTGATTTCTGATGCTTAATATTTATTGAAACCCCTTAATGCGGATCTGAAGTATTCAGCCCAGAGAATCATGGCGCTTTATGTCAAAACGTTAATAAATATTTACCGCTGAAAACGAATATATTCATAACAGTAGTACTTGTATTATAAGTACGTACAATTTTTCAAGATACATCGTGACATTTTAAACTTGAAATTAAATAACTAGAACACTTTAAATTGCTAAAATACCAACAAATAAATCAAAAAACAGCTGTCAATGGTGATTAAACTCAGGTGGAGGTGATCGCTGAATGGAAATCGGAGCAATTCGGGTGGCGTCGTGCAACAATGATTTTCAATTGGTGGGTTACTTTGGCTTAAAATAGACAACATGCGCAGTGTGCAATGTTACATCTTCGGTCTCTTTAATATAAGGGTGCATTGAATTATTAATTAAATTTGCTTTCAAAGAAGGTGTCACACTTTATAATACCTACAATTTTGTATCCCAATAGAGAGCGGTACAATTAAAAGTATCGCAATGAACAGTCATATTTCTAAATTCCCCATAAAATTACCTCTTTAATGATGTACTACACTTTGTGGTGTCACACTCTATAATACGTAGTAGTTTTTATCCAGGTAGAAGGCGATAAAATTTAATTAACGCAATTTACAGAAATATTTCTGAATCCCACATTAAATTACCTTTTCAATGATGTGCCATACATGGTGCATTACCTATTTAAAATCAAGGTGTGCAAAGGAGGGGATTGACACATGACAGATGTCTGTATTGTAACAATGGCTAGATTTATCGAATTAGTTCATAAAACAAAATATGCTTAAAAATGCATTTTTTTATAAGATGCGCTACACAAAAAAGATCCTTTCATCGAAAAAAAAAATATTGAGTGCAGCGCCATCTACATATTGACCTATTTAAAATCAATTTATATCTAAAACTGAAGCTCCCTTAGTGGTCTGTGAACTGGCTTTTACAGAATTAAAATATCTATTAATTACCAAAATATCCGGCCTGGGAGTTTTTACTATGTCCACACCATATGGCATTTTTTTTTTTTAATATTATTGTTATGCAAAAAAGTTATACTTCTTAAAAAGTTCTGCATAGTCACTCCTTTCCTTACAAAATGTTATTCTTCGTTGAATATTATACTAATTTAAAAAATATATATACATATAAATCAATATTATGCCATTTGACATTTCTCATACCCGATATTATTTCATTGTTTCGCTTAAAATAATATTACCATATCACTGATGACTTTTCCAAAATAATTAGCGAAACCTTCGTTGAGCCAAATATTTGACCACCAGTCGAGAGTAATGTAATTTCCAAACCATTGGTGTGCTATTTCATGACCAATGACCATTAAAATATTCTGAAATGATGCACTAGATGTTCTGTTGCCATCGTCTAACAAATCCACTTCTCTGGAAGTTTAATATTTATTTACAAGTAGAAGTAGGTATTTAAAATTTCCTAATCTTATAAAATGCATACGGACAAATCGTAAATCTAAAAGGGTTTCCCCATAAATGCTCCCCAACATAAGCGCCCCAATAATTTATTATTATTATTTTTTTTTTTAATTGATTACTAGCACAATTTCTTTTAGTTTTTCAATTATTTATTTTCCCCCTTTGGGTTTCGAGATCGATTGCATTATTTTGTAGAGGAATATTGATTTGATTTGAAACATGTCATAAATAAGACTCATTTTAAGTCCAATTTACTACATTTTTTTCAAATTCAAGATCCTGTATATTATTTTATCATTAGGTTCGTTATGAATTTACCCATCCAACGATACCAACATGTAAGCGTAATATACATATACAGGATGTCCCATCAGTGCCTAATTGATCGATAACTGTTTTATTATTGGAGATACGAAGATATTAAAAAAAAAAGTTGTACGACCACATTTTACAATTAATCTTAAATATACAAGGTGGTTCATAAATGAGGGGTAAACCAAAATTTTACTTTTTTAAACCAAATACCCTGTAGCTAGTTACATATAACAGATTTGGTTATTTTCACATTGGTAAACCATGTTTGCATTTTCATTAATTTTCTATGATGTATATAAGGTGTGTTTAAAAACGATATTACGATATTATTAATTTTTTCAAATGCAATACTCTGTATGATATGCTACAAATTTATAAATTAATTTCTTCATTTTACTTTCCTATCTGTATACCTCGAGTTTTCGACGGATTTTTACGTTTTGAGGTCCCCTGAATCCGTTTTGACAATTTTCGCGATGATGTCTGTGTGTGTGTCTGTGTGTGTGTCTGTGTGTCGCATAACTCATGAACCCATACACAGAAAAACACCAAATTTTAAAATTAAGCTTTGTTCCAGCGTCCAAAGAGCTGATTAGATTTTGGGCAGAGTCGGAACATCTAGGGGGGTACTTTATAAGAGGTCATTTTTATATTTTATGGAATATATCTGTTATTTACGTTTGGGAAAGAAAATTATTTAAATAAAAGTTACTTCCTATATAATTATCTATAATTTTTGTTCAATACAAAATTTTTCTAAAATGGTCCGTATTCGAGAAATTTGACAAAATGTAAAAAAAATTTTTTTATAAAAATTGTTCAAACAAAAGATGTTTGTAATATAATTCTCTATAATTTTTATTCTATAAATAATTTCTCTAAAATAGACCGTATTTGAGATATTTCAGAAAATGTGTAAATTTCGAAATTTGAAAAAACTCAAAAACAGATGAAGAAAAAAACATTAAATTTTAAACTTAAGTTTTATTTAGACCTGACGTCGGAACATCTGGGGGTTACTATATGGGAGGCCGTTTTTATAATTTATGGAATATATCTCTTATTTATGTTTGGAGAAAAAAATTGTTCAAATAAAAGTTACTTCTAATATTATTATCTATAATTTTTGTTTTATGTAAAAATTTCCTGAAATGGTCCGTATTCGAGAAATTTGACAAAATGTGCAAAATTCTGATTTTTATAAAAATTGTTGAAATAAAAGTTGTTTGCGATATCGATCTCTATAATTTTTGTTTATACATGATTTTTCTAAAATGGACCGTAATGGAAAAATTGTAGGAAAAGTGCTAAATTTAAATTTTCGTTTTCAATGAATATCTATAGAAAAATGTTTCGAGGTAGATATATGTGGAAAATGTATATATTTAGTTTATCCGCTAAACATTTATAGAGGTACTGCAATACGTTGTACAAAATAATCGGAAAAAGCCTATAATAACTAGATAGGAAAGTCATGTGTTGGACACATCAGATTTTTTACTTTCCTATCTCTCTCTCTCTGTGTGTGTGTGTGTGTGTGTGTGTGTTTTGTGTGTGTGGTGTGTGTCTCTGTGGCGTGTGTGTGTGTGTGTGTGTGTGTGTGTGTGTGTGTGTGTGTGTGTGTGTGTGTGTGTGTGTGTGTGTGTGTGTGTGTATGTGTGTGTGCGTGCGTGCGTGCGTGCGTGCGCGCATGTTTGTGTGTGTGGTGTGTGTGGTGTGTGTGGCGTGTGTGTGGCGTGTGTGTGGTGTGTGTGTGTGTGTGTGGTGTGTGTGTGGTGTGTGTGTGTGAGTGTGTATGTGTGTGGTGTGTGTGGTGTGTGTGTGTGGTGTGTGTGTGTGTGGTGTGTGTGTGTGTGTGTATGTATGTGGTGTGTGTGGTGTGTGTGTGTGGTGTGTGTGTGTGGTGTGTGTGTGTGTGTGTGTGTGTGGTGTGTGTGTGTGTGGTGTGTGTGGTATGTGTGTGGTGTCTGTGGTGTGTGTGTGTGTGTGTGTGTGGTGTGGGTGTGTGTGTGTGTGTGTGTGTGGTGTGTGTGTGGTGTGTGTGTGGTGTGTGTGTGTGTGTGGTGTGTGTGTGTTGTGTGTGTGGTGTGTGTGTGTATATAAAAGTTTTAGTTACGTACCGTATATGGATCTGGATAATTTTCATGGATATATATTCTATAAAATTAGAGATTTAACGCTTAGAAATTTGGGCGTTAGTGATTTTTCTTGAAAAGTCGATTTTTCTCACGTTCATGTATTAAACAGATACGGCCATTTGAATTAACATGGCAGCATACTTATGCGCATAAATTCGAGTTTTTTAAATGCATATTTACCTAAGTTTAGTTACAAGTGAAGCGATTAGTTAATTTCAAAATATTTTCATACAGGATGTTTACAAAATACTAAATAATGATTTATTTACAGTACTCTAAATCTCTACCACTTTATGAATGACATACGTTACCGCTTACCTGAAAGTTATTAGTCCCCAGTTCTCCATTGCACCAGCCCCAAAATCTGGTATAGCTACCAAGTATTGCTGGGGATTTCCTAAATCATCGTATCTGATGCCTGTCCATTGACTCATACTGTCAAATAGTTTCTGTCCAAATGTCTTTGCTATTCCCAAGTCTTGCGCAGCACTAGCGCGAGCAAACACATTAAATTCTTGGTCTCGTGATATCGCGGGCTCCATTTTGGAAATAACTAATGCAACCAGGTAAGTAGACATAATGGGTGTCTTTTGGAATTGTGTTATAGTTGTTTTTCTAAAAAAAAATGCAAAGGATCTTATTAGGCGAAGCATAAAAAATTGGTAAAAAAGAGGAATATTTCTAATATTCATGTATGAGAATTTCACGATAAAAATAGTGTTTATTCTAAAGTGAAACCAGTTTTAATATATTTATGCGAGGCCGTATTTGCAGCTGTCTTAACCTCTTAATGACTCCAAGTTACGTAAAATTTTAAAAATATAATTACCCATTAGTTATTGATGTTTCCAATGGAGTGTTAGCAAGGGCATTATAAAGTTTGGGATGTTCTACAGTAATTTCAAAAGTAGCTTTAAAGGACGGCTCATCGAAGCACGGAAAAGCTCTCCTAGCATACACCGGTTGAAACTGGGTTGCAACTAAAATTTCTCCACCATCATAGGTACTTTTATAGAAGCCGTTCATTTCATTTGAAAATTTTCCTCGATATAATATAATTAATTCTTGATCAGTCCTGAAATATGTACAAAATTTTATTTATTGCTTCTTTCAAGTTTTATTTTTATTGGTTATATTCTCAAACGGTCTCAAGTATCCATCATTTTTTTTTATGCAATCTTTTTTGTATTATTTTCACATTACATTTGTTATGAATTTACCTATCTATCCAACGATCCATGACCACTTAAAAATATTTGGAGCCTTTACCCCTTAAGTCTGTCCAAGTAAAAACAATTTGCTTCTTTACTTTGTACATTTTTAAGATAAGTACTTAGTTGTTATAGTGATGATTATTATTTTAGTAGGACTGACTTTTCTAAGAAAAAATATTCTACATATGATCGTGAGCTACTTGCGATCTACTCCACAATTAAACACTTCGCCTACATGTTAGAAGGCACAAATTACAAAATACTTACCGATCACAAGTCCTTAACCTTTGCATTTCGTTAGAAAGAAACTAGTTTATCTCCTCGGCAAATTTAATATCTATCATACATTAGTCAATTTTCGACTAATATAGAATATCTAAAGTCTGAGTTAAACGTCGCTGCAGATGAACTCTCACGAATTGTCACAGTTGTCAAGGGTTCAGTTTTGATTTCTGCATTGACAGAAAGTTCAGAGGGACGACGAGGACCTTTTTAAACTTATATTTACATCTTCAAGAACAAGTCTCGAATTTCGGCAAGTATCCTTGGAAAATGTTTTAGTTTTTTGTGACGTTTCCACTAATAAAATTTGTCCGTTTGTTCCCAAAAGTTTACGTTATGAATTTTTTAAGAATTTCTACGCCATCCTGGTATTAAAGCCACAACACATCTAATTGAAGAACGTTTTCTTTGGCCATATTTGAGAAAAGATATGAAAGAATGGGTTAGGAGGTATCAGTCTTAAAAAATTCTTCGTCGCGAAAAATCGTCACTTTTCACATGTCAACATATATATTGTTAAAACATTACCGCCTTCTAAAGGATACACTTACCAACCAGATGGTTCGAAGCTAATCCTTTGACGGATCAAAAAGCCGAAACTACTGCTCAGGATTGTTTTAAGGGTTGGATTGCTCGATTTAGAACCCCTGTTCAAATAACTACAGGTCAAGGTTCTAATTTTTAAAAAAAATCAAATTTGGGGTCGATTTATTAATTATAAACCCTCTCAAAAGTGTTTGCCTAAATTACCAGTATTTTTGGAATTACCTAAACTTTCAATTGTTCTTTGTTGGCCTCTGAATCAAACACTTTTTTTAGGTCATATTTTATGACCCCTTTCTATTATGCGCAGTACCTGGTGTCCCGGGGTAGGTCCAGCCAACACAGATAGATCTGCTTTTCCATCCAAATAATTTCAAATTACAAAATTTCAAAGTGCATCAAACACTTAATGGAATGTGTGTTACTAGCTCTTGGACTAAAAGGAGACTTAAATGATCCCAAGAATTACCGACGGATCACCTGTCCTAACACCTGTTACAAAGTATTTACCCGTATCTTGTATTCTCGGGTGTTAGCTGTAGTGGAACCGATCCTGAGGGATATAGGGGAACAACGAGGAGGAAAGAAAAAATTTGAAGGCTGCAAAGAAAACTTACTGATAGACAGATGCATAACTCAGGACTCACCAATACAAGCGGAACCTATCGATGGCTTGAATTGATTATAGAAAGAGTAATAAAGTGCATTAAACAACTAATGCCGCTCTGGAAAACAAGGTTCCATATAATAACTGGGAATGAAAAGATAATAACTGAACCAATAACATTCAAGAGAGGAGTCTTCCAAGGCGACTCTCAGTCCTCTGTTATTCTGTATCTCACTACTTCTTATTTCAGTAAGCCTTCTTAAGACTCGCGGATATACCTGTGGGCCACCTGGTAACTAAACACACAAGGTGACACATCCATTTTACATTGATCATCTGAAGCTTTAGAGTGACCGAGATTTAAAGCAGTCTCTAAAAGTGGTTGAAGAGTATACCAACTATATAGGTATGGAACTCGGCCTGGATAAGTGTGCAGTAATTAAACTTTTCAAAGGCCGAATCAAAGACCAGCCAGACAACGAACAGCTCGCCGATGGAGGCATTTTACGTCATTTGGAGCCCGAAGAGACCTACAAATATCTAGGTGTCGATCAAAATCGTATGCAAGACACAGATAACGTAAAAAATGCCCTTTAAAGCAACTACAGAACACGGCTTCGAAAAATATGGCAATCAGAACTCTCTGGAATCAATAAAGTTGCCGCCACCAATATGCTTGCTGTCCCAATACTTCTATACTCTTTTGAAGACGAGATTAATTATAGGGTACGGATGTAAAAACACGAAAAATTATGACCATAAAAAGGAGATCGGTTCCCGGTATTTATCTCCTGCGACACCAGGGAGGGCATTTGTTTTTAAAGCAGCGGGTAAGGCGTTAGAGAGGCTTAAGATTATTTTCTCGATTGATAACGATCAATCTATTAGAAGATTAGAACCTCTTTTGGTGAAACCTAGAGATAAAGCAGCAGAACAGCGGCTGTTACTGGAAGAACATGTAAGAAAAGCACAACATGGGGTATTCTATCGAAATATTGAATCATTAGAACTTTCGAGGAAACTTACATTCGCTTTTCTCAAATCGGCCGAGCTGAAGTCTGAGACTGAAGGTTTCGTAATAGCCTGCCAGGACGGTGTATTAATAAACACCTTGGTATACCGTAGCCAGTTTTCAGAGGTACCTGACGTGCGATGTAGAGCGTATCACCAGCACCCTGAAACATTAATGCACTTGTTGTCTGCATGTTTAGTACACGCCCGAACTAGTTATATCCATCGACACAATGCAGCACTTCTGGTACTATACTACCATCTGAGACAAGCTTACGGTATAGATGAAGCACCAGTGTTGCCGTATGTCTTCGAAAACATCGAAACTGTAATAGACAAAAAAAACTGTCGAATTTACTGGAATTATGCTTTTCCCACCGCCAGATGACTTCAAGCTAATAAACCTGATATCGTTCTGCTGGATAAGCTGAACAATTCAATGTACGTCATAGAATTTTCAGCCCCAGCAGAAACGAATATACTAGTGAAGGGGAGGAAAAAGTGTGCTTAATACATGGAACTTCTTGATGAGCTGAGAAGTCTGTACCCAGAGTGTAAAATAAATTTGGTTGTTCTTATTGTCGGCGTTCTCGGAGGAACTAAGGATTCAATGGTCAAGGAAATTTAAAAACTACCTGCGTGTCGAGATTCATCTGAACAACTTGCGATAAAGATGCAAAAAGCAGTCATCCTTGGGTCTCTTTGTCTGTTGAGACAAATGAATTTGGCTGACAATCACTAACCAAGCGGACGCAAGGAGTGATTGTCGTTTCGAAAGGCATTTCCACGAAACTTTCTGTGCGTGTCAAGGCCACAGAAAGACTTCGTTGGAATCATGATTAAATAATAATTAGAGAACTTACAATACAAACTATACTGGGACAGAGAAATACGCACTGACATCCGCATCAGCGCTAATCGACCAGATATTGTACTATTTGATAAATTAAAGAAGGAAATAGCAATAATAGATGTAGCAGTACCCCTCAGTCATAATATCCAAACCACATATGCTACAAAAATTAATAAATATCTCGAACTTGCTATGAAAATCAAACAAATGTGGAGGGTAAATACAGTTAAAATACACCCACTAGTAATATCTGCAACTGGAAGTGTGCCACTTACAGTTACAAAACATCTAGAACAACTAAATGTAAAACACAGCGTAACACAAATAAATAAATAAATAAATAAATCTGTGGTGCTTGACACGTGTCATATTGTCCGAAAATATCTTGGCTCACAGACGAATTAGTCAAATCCAATGATATACTGTTGGTGCACCAGCAACCCAAAATACTGCAAAAATAACCCAGGTTAACCTGAGATAATTCTTTCCAATAATAATAATAATAATTAAAAATATTAATAATAACAGTTAATAATCTAATTATTTGGTTTTTGCACTTCTGTGATTTTATGAGTTAACTACGATGAATATAAAAAAAAAACAATTACCTGAATTCCATTGGACATTTTATCGGAAATATTTGCGAAGCAACATCATGCTGTAAGGAGTAATTGCAGTTCGTTCCATTCAACTGCATGCTGTCAATTTTTATATAGTCATGATCCGCGTGTAAAAACAACGTGTTCGTTGTGCCATTTAAAACTTTCAAAGTAATTTGTACTGTACCAGTAAAATGAGTATCTTCGGGATTTACATTTATCTTTAAGTTATAATTAGTTGGCCGAATTATTTTTGGTAAACGGAATCTGTCAATTGACTGTGTAGTAATAAATTCGAATAAAAAAAATAGGTGAAGAAGTTTTTGTAGTTTAGTCATCTCAGTCTGAAATATATATAAAAATAAATAAATTAGTTAGCCTGGAAATAACATATTAAAAAGAAAAAATATAAGAAAGAAAAATCAAGAGAACTAGTAGAATTAAAAGGGCTATTTGGAATTACAAAGTTTTAAATATGTATAGTGAACAAATAGTACAAAAAGGGACAAGTCTACATAATAATCATTACTATAAAAAACTAGGTACTAACAAGATTAAAGACCCTAAAAACAATATGAAAAGAAAGAAGAGCGAGAAAAATTACTTATGATCCGTAAATGAAAATACAAGAATTTGGAAATCTTATAATGAACACCATAATTTAGTTAATTAACATATTAAAACGAAAAATTATGTAAGTCGTAAAAAGAGAAGTAGTAAAGTTAAAAGGACAATTTGTAAATAAAGTTCTGTGTTCTTAAATAGATTTAAATTTAAGTGAACAAATAGTACAAAAATGAACAGTTTAGACAATATTAAAAAAAAAATTTAATAATAACAGGATTAAATAGACTAAAATCAATATGAAAAGAAATAAATGAGAAAAGAATTGGTTACGATTCGTAAACGAGGGTCTAAAAATTTGTAAATCTTAAAACTAACTAATTCCTCCTTCGAAACTAAGGAATCCATTCTCATAACGCCAAGGCGAAAAAAAAAACCAAAGAAGAATAGAAAAATATGATCTGAAGAAATATGTTAACATGTGAAAACCCATCGAAATGGTCTTTATTAACTTTTATTAGTAACTTTTATGTCAATTATGTTACTAGCTTTCTTTAGAGGTTATTTGCGGAATTATTAACTTAAACTAGGTATAAAGAGAGGACTTGTAACGTCGCAGGAAATCTTGTTCTAGTCTGACACCAATGCTATTTGACCAGAGGCGTAACATGTTGGAAATAAAACAATGAACTCTTATTTATGTTATTAGTACTTTATTGATCTTTTTAGGTATAAAGCAAGTTTAAAGCATAAAAATTAAACTAAATGAGGAACATTAAATAAGGCACAAGAAACATATATATACAAGGTGCGCCAACCTCAACGGAACGGAGCCTGGTGGGTAAACTACAAAAGAGATCAAAAATTTCTTTGGCACAAATATGCAACTCAATAACGGCTATAAATTAAAATTAGTCTGATATATACAGGGTGTCCCAAACCAGAATACCAATATAATTATATTTTTTTAAATGGGACACCTTATTTTCGTTTAATTTAAGTTCTACTCAAGGTTTAAATGAACCTGCATTTTTTAGTTTAAAAAAAACTTTCGCTAATACTCACTAGATGCTACACGGAAATAGAGCATTCTCGTTATGAACTATTGCCATATCTACACTAATCATTTTACGTGTTTTTGATCTGTGCCTAGTGTTGTTTTTGTGTGACTTATTATTTTAAATATACTATTTCTCATTGATATTTTGTGTTTAATAATAAAAATGCCCCTTGTACCCAAGAAAAAGTGAAAAAGAGGCTTACATTTAAAAAACAAAGTATAAAGGAATGAATTACAACATATAAAATGTTTATATTAAAAACCCTGATTTTTATCACAATCGAAATAGATAGGTAGAATTATTGAAGATTAAAAAAAAAAGAAAAGTACAATAACTTCACGTAAAATTAGGTTACGTTAGAAACTCATAAAATAAGCATTTTTTTTTATTTTTGGGTAAATTATTCTATTTAAATAATCAAAATACATAGGTTTTTACACATTGGTTTATTATGTAATTCACTGCTTTTAAAAAAACACGTTAAAGAAGAAGGAGAAAACTGCGTTGCCACATATTTTTTTCTAAATACTTAGGTGTTCTTTATTTATAGTAATACCTACCTTTGCAAATAAACCAATTCAAATATTATTTTAAACATAAGACATCTATTGATTCTACTTTTTTATTTAAAAACAATGTTAGTTTATTATAAATAGTATTATTATTAAAGTGATAAATGTAACAAAGAGCGTGTTTGTACAGGGTCTTTAATTGGAAATATGGAATTTGGCGAAAATTTGACAACACGGACCGATCTCCGATCATTCACTGAAATGTTGCACAGAAGGTAGAAAACAAAGGTATCTAATCAGTTAACTGGACAATAAACTTTTGAAAAAATTGGATACAGATTTCCGTTCCAACCGTATATTCATATCAGTAAAATTGACACAGAGGCATAACTTTATGGAAGGAATATTATTTAATTTATTATTTTAGATTTTGTTACAGGGTGTGCGATTCCTGATAATGATATTGAGACATACCTTTCTTCGACGAAACTTTTTAGTAATTTTGATATCTAATATCTGGACAATAAACAGTTATATTATAGATTTTGAATTACCTCTCTAACCATATGATTCTAGCAGGTGTTAAAGTTAAAATATACCTTTTTTTAACGAAACTTCTAGTTAATTTTGATTAAAGAATATGATACAAACATATTTTTTGTGTAAAACTGTTATACTTTTGTTTAAACCTAATAATTTTAACAATTTTCGAGAAACACGCAATTGAATACTTCAAAGTCTGAAAGTGTTTTAAAATATTTAAAAGTAGACAAATTTGTCACTCCGAATAATAAACAAAATAACTTAATAAAATATTTCATAAACAAATAAAACGTCTTTGGAATGATCAGTCAGTTTCATATTTTTATTAATTTTTAGCATCACACTGTTTTGGAATAAATTCCAAATTCTAGTGTAACGGACAAAATTGAGACAAACATTGATGGACAGGAAATGATCCTCTTTTTAATAAGAAATAACAAACTCAAAGTGAATGTTCTATGTGGTATTTTCCTACTTTTACGTCTTTTTCAATTTATTTTAAAGAAAGACTTGACATTGGGTTGTAATTAGGGTGGCAATCCCACCAGGTGTTCCTGAATAAATCATGATAATAAATGAACACTAGGGTTTAGTGTTGTAGCACTAGTGTTTAGTGTTAGGGTGGCAATTCCACCATATGTTCCTGAATAAATCATGATAATAAATGAACATTAGGGTTTAGTGTTGTAGCACTAGTTTTTAGTGTTAAGGTGGCAATCCCACCAGGTGTTCCTGAATAAATCATGAAAATAAATTAACACTAGGGTTTAGTGTTGTAGCACTAGTGTTTAGTGTTATGGTGACAATTCCACCATATGTTCCTGAATAAATCATGATAATAAATTAACACTAGAGTTTAGTGTTGTAGCACTAGTGTTTAGTGTTAGGGTGGAATTCTACCAAATGTTCCTGAATAAATTATGATAATACATGGCAATCCCACCAAGGTTAATTGAAAAGGTAGTTAGTGGCAATCCCACCAAGGTTAACTGAAAAGGTAGTGGTTATCCCACTATGTTTAATCCCACCAAGGTTAATTGAAAAGGTAGTTAGTGGCAATCCCTCTATGTTTACTGCAATGGTGGCAATCGCACCAACATTAATGTACTGAAATGGTGGCAATCCCACAAACATTTATTGAAAGAGTATTAAGTGGCAATCCCACTAATGTTTATGGTGGCCATTCCACTAACGTTGACTGAAAGAATGACTAGTGGCGATCCCACTACGTTTACTGTAATCGTGGCAATTTTACCAACAATAATTAAAAGAGTAATTAATCGTTTATCGTCTAAAAAGAACATTAGTGATAATGTTCATAAGTAGTAACAGTAGTTCTGTTTTCGTATTTTGTAATTCCAGATATAGGTGTCGCGAGGACGCACCAGTTGCAGGATGGCCGTGTTAGCGGTGTGCCTTTGCTCCCCACCATACATTCCTGAAGTCCATACACATGCGTGTCAGGATGGACGAGCGGGAGAAGGCAGACCAGCGCAGTGGCCAGTACGCTAATTCGCTCCGTGCGCGACAGCGGCGCCAATATGTTATGGTATTAAAGGAGTATTTCTGCCTATACTGACAAATACAATTTTTAATAGAATTCGTAAATAAAAAGTATATATGTTAGTTTTAATAAAAGTATATGGATTTATAAAACAATTAAAACATTAATTTATTATTATATATTTTTCACGCTTAAATTGAAGAAAATTATGTATAATCATTAAAAATCAATAATAAAATATAGGCAGGCAACAGTATTTACTGGAAAATGTATGAGAAGTTGTCTATGTCTAATAAGTTGTCATTGAAGAAACCATTTATAATAGCGTGTATAAAAAGGATCGCTACTTATATTTTCATTTTTGTTCTAAAGAAAACATAGAATGAATGATTAAAACTGGTTTCCGATCAGTAAGTCACAAAATTGCATACCAGCCAAATATTATAATCAACGGCAGAAATCTTGAAATCTAGTCCTTGCTGAATGAACATTTAAGAATAAAGGGATATTAAAGAACATCGTAAAATGATAATTTATTGTTTATTTAAAAACTTTCTAGTTTCTGATGTCTACTATTTCCAGCATTACTGTTATTATCACAAAAATAAAGGTAATTTTTCTTCTTATTGTACACCTATCCATTTATTTCTTTGATTTCATTTCCACTTTGTTAGTGAAATTTGTTATATAAGTTTCACTGTTTTTTTTGCTAGTATTTGTACAATTTTCAACACAGCAACTCCGGTTGCTTATTGTGTTGTTTTTACCTACTTTTTTGAAAAAAAGTAAAATGTATACGTGTATTTGATATGCCAAAATTACAAAATATCCCCCTAAAATGCACGAATTATCCGCAGCTAGCGCTAGTATCGCTTTTGCTTCCCTTTCCATGACTTCGCACGGAGCGAATAGACAGTGGCAATACCACACCAACATTGTAATTGAGAAACTTGTTCGTGAATTAAAACATTGAAAAATCAGTTTATACCTTTTTATTATATCCCTTATCTTCATATGTATTTAAAAAAGAATCACAAATATTTTTATCAAGTGCAAGGACAACTTTATATTTCTAAAATAAATTATTGTGATTTTGTAATTTGGACACCTAAAGGACTACACATACAAACGATTGAATATGATAAAAAGTTCACAAAGGCAATGG